TCCTGCTGACCGTATGTGAGGTATGATTTCGTAAGTGACTGTATCTACTGTAAGACCTAGTATGTATGCATGGATATCACCATCATGGTATGTATAGATGGTCATCACACGTGTGTATATTACGTCAATTTTTACACAACAGTTGCATTAAATGCATTTATTACCATAAATCGTATTCGAATATTTATTTTTAAAGTAATTCGTAAATATATCTTTTATTCAAATTTGCTACGTTATACGTTTATATACATTTTAATCATTATCTTTTGTACAAGTATAGACGATACTTAATGTAAATGGAAAAATATTTGTATTTATCTGTTTAGTTTATCTAGTATCATATAAGATACAGTATATGTACTTATACACTATGCTATATAATTTATTTCATGAAATATACGAAAATAAAACTCATTTGGATTCAGTTAAATCCAAAATCTTCGCACAAATTAATCGCAATCTTCGTAAGGTGAACCTTCCAATGTCGCGATTCTTTTTCAAAATATCATTCAATTCATCGCACATTTTGTTCACGTGTTCATCAAAGTCATTTAAAGATCGAGTTTCGTCAGAACTTTCAATAGACTGGGTCTCTAATTTAGCGAGTTTTTCGTCTCTTTGAGAATCATCATAATTGTTGCAGACGTGATAAACATTTTGAGAATGTTTCGCTACATATCGCAAATAATCGGAAACATCTGATAAGTCTTGAAATTCGTAATAAGTCGTGCCAGAGAGATAAGCTGGTAAGGAATCTTTTAACGATAATTTTTTTGTAACTGCAGCAGCCATTTTAGTAACAAGATCCTCATTGGGGCACGTATGAGCTAGTTTATCGAATGATTCAAAGGCTTCCTGTCGTACCCATGGATTATCGCTTTCCAGAAGTCGACAGTTGAGCTCTGCTAATGCATTGGCAGTTTTAATTCCGCAGTTACCAAAATGGTTCTTATTGGCCCTCAAATAATGTGACGCGATCACCTTTACGTGTGATGGGAAACATAAGAATGACGTCAGCACGGCATCTAATATCTGAAATCGTCGAAATGTCATTCACTGATATATTTTTGCACAATTTATCAACTGAATAATAAAGTTTTTAAGAATTGATCTCATTATCGTTATATATTAATATCGAATTAACTATGCATAGTATGAATTTAATTCTGAATAATTATGCATACCGAAGAAAAGATGTCGTCTTGTATTTTCTCTGGTTGCATAACACTGAACAGTTTCGACATAAATTCCGACAGTATATCCAATTGTCTGTCTTCGAAAATTTCAATCGTGCTCGCGATAGAGTTCCATATCTGACAAAGAATACGAACGATGCTTTCTTCTCCAGTGCAATTTAGTTTCCCAATCAGTGATATCAGCATTATCTTTTAACGAAGAAAACGGTTGTTAAATTTCGTATATAGTAAAGTCGATCGGAAACCTGTTTAGAACTTATTCATATGAACAAAGCTTACGAGGCGATTCCAATTCTTTACGGTAGGCTGTCGCTGTAATTCAGCAAAGGTACTCGAGATCTCGTTTAATACGCAAGCCAACCGATTTTGCAAGAATGATTTCGTTTTTGATGGCAAAAATCGTGCAAGTGGTAGCCAGGACAGATTTTCGAGATCATCGAACTCTACTATAAGAGTGTGTTTCATTTCGTCCGAAAGCAAATTGTACAACCTTCCGATTAAGTTCTCCAATATAACGACCTCGAGACTGCTGCTGCGTCTCATTAGAGCAGCATAAACTTTCAATAGATATTTCAGATGACTAGCGCATAGTTCCGAAGACGCAATGCTAAAAGATATAATACATTACAGAAAAATGAATAACATTCAGAAAGTTCATTTATATCGAAGGAAAAATCGGCTTTGGTAAAATATATGTGCATCTAATAAAAGATTGCACAGTATCTTATGAATAATCATTTTTAAATTACGGTATAACACGTTTTAAGAACGTAATTATAATATTCCATCGTGACAAATTCAAAAAGGAATATCGAGTCATGGAAGCCGATTTTAATTGCGACACTTGCGATTATGACTTATGCAACGTTAGAAGTATGTAATTTACAAACCGATCAATGAAACACCAAATATCTGAACTGAGCAAGGAACTCCAAAGTTGATTGCTTAGTAAATGTTTCAACAAAATCAATTCGACAGCGTGAAATCCATCGGTAGGAATTTGACTAATCAAACCACAAATTGGCACTATTGTGGCTTCGTATAACGAAGCGGACCTCGGTCTTTCTCCGATGTCGTGTACGCCCGGTAATCTCACTTGACCCACGCAAATCTCTTCTTGTACTATTTGATGGCATAAATTTAAATGTTTTCAAAATTCTGCAAACTCTAGCTACGTTCTTTTTACGTCCAATGTCAAGGTTTTTTTTTTTTTTAAAGTCATCTAGTGACTTTAAGTAACTTTTTTGACATCGTGTAAGATTTGTGAATTGAACAAATATTAAACAAGATAGAATACTTACTAAAATTAATGTTGGTTAATGCGACATCGATGATCGACTCAGCACCCAATGTCCATTTACAATGATGCTCGTATGGCATGTTGATTAATTTTTTCATAATACTAATTGTTAACAAGTGATAGCCTAACTTATCAATGTTTGTTATATTTCTATATTCGAAAAACGCCTAAAATATATCGCAAGTATCAAATAATATATGAATATCCGATTTAAGCATATAGGATAGACGAACCTGCTTGAAATCGGAAGACTTGAAGATGGTATTCAGAAATGGCTCTGATCCCTTGTAAATGTGGACGTTTATTAATTCGATAAATTTTTCATCGATTTCAGATTTTTGTAAGCACAGTGGGGAACATCTGACGGTAAGTAATGACACGATAATTTTGAACGAAACAAAAAGAACAAAATAGGAAAGAACATATAATTAAATACCTGTGCATTTTTAACAGCAGTTCGATTACAAACGGAAGGACTTCATTATTTATGTGTAAACAATAAGCTACACATAGTCTATCCAAGATTTTTAACGAATGGCCAATCACTTTTATTTTTCTTTCGTCGACCCGATCAGTCGAATCCTACGAAAACTCGATTATACAAGTTTGCAAAAATTGAAAAATTCTTGAAATCATACGTGCATACCTATGTATATACTTCTACAATATATAACTTGCCTTCAGTAACTATTCTTCGGTATTTAGTATTTAATAAACCGTGAGATTTCTTAAATAGTAAACTGATACTATTGATATACGTACCATGATAACATTTAAGACACATAATACGAAGCAAAATAACGCGAAGAAAAAATTTAAAATACTGATTATATCCAGATTATATTTCAAATAATATTTTAAATGTACCGTGAGACCATTTGAGACAAATAATACGAAGCAAAATAACACGAAGAAAAAATTTAAAACACTGATTATATCCAGACAATATTTCAAATAATATTTCAAATCTATGAAAATTAAGTTTCTTGAATTGCGAGTCATAATGAAATTAATTCAATGATGTTAACCATTTTACAAATTCAGTTATAAAAATCGGAACTTATATTTTCTGTTGACTACCAGGTTACTAGGATAAAACTTATTTCTAAAACGTACTTGAGAGAACGAGAGCATCGAGGATATGTCTTTCGCTAGATGTGCAAGATGCAGAGTAACGCTCGTAGCTTTTATTCGTTTTACTGGATGTTGATGCGTAATTGCCAATTTGCCAAATACTTTTGACGTTTCCACGAACGTTTTCAGATCCAATTCGCGAGAAATGGTAACGAATAATCCGATCGAATCGATTACTGTTGCGAACAAAATACATATGAGCAAAGGGAATCCACTTTATTCGAATTTACAAAATGAAAGGAATATTATCAATATATTTGCAGATATTACGATAATATACAAATATTAATTTCAAATAACTATTCCAAATCTTCGAAATGAATATTGATAATATCAAATGGGAAATTGAACAGCGCAACGGTGTTCTCTTTCCTCTGTTTGACGTATTAGATGAAGATAAAGATGGCTCAGGTTAAAGAATCGTTAAGACGTAATAGGATCGCTTACCTTTTACCAACAGTTCCGTTTCCAATTCCATATCCGTGTCGAAGACTATTACACCGTCTAAAGTGGTCAGGAATAGATTCAAGATCGTTTTCGTCTTGCGAAAAAGATTCGTTAATTCCTCCGATACGTCCTCGAGCAAAGCACCATATAATTTTTTACTGTAAAAAGAACGAAAGTTCTACTTAATCGCGTGAAAATAGCCGTTTCCAAGCTTAAAATAAGAAATCACTCGAGTTTACTAACCATGTATCTTTATTTGATCAATAAATAAAATTATAACAAACAACCGAATGAGTTAGAATAACTACTTTCAGAAATTTTATTTTTAAATTATTTGTATACGGTATATTTAAATATACATTATATACATTATGATTGAGAAATCCTTTGACAATCTCACCTTGCTCTGCAATGCTCGAATATTAATCTAATTACGAGAAGCACGTTCTCCAGTATGCATCTGAGATTAATGGCGGGCGTCTTGCAAAGTTTCGACACGCGTTCTATAGATTTCTCCCATACACTCAGTAATTCATTGCACACGAGCAATTGTCGTTTTGTGTCTTTAACTGGGTCCCCGTGTACATTACTATTTATCGTTTCGTCAATCTGCTTCAAAGCCTTTGAACAAGAATAAACATGAAAATTATAATAACACCTTACACTAAAGATTGGTCTTGTAAGATTTTACAATAATATTGGGACTATAATTACTAGGATAACGTTATCTTTGTGTTTACCTCGGATAAAAGATGATAAGCGAAAGGAAACGTTTCATTGAAAATTTTTTCATTTAGTAAATTATCCGGACACGAGGATAAACATTGTTGCAAAGCCTGCTGCAACAATTCTGCGTCGTACTTCACGGTTAGATTCTCCAAGGCATCGTGAACATTGTTGAGTTAGGGAAAATATGTGGATACAACTTGGTATCGCCCATAACGTGATTGTTTAAAAAATAGGAATATAGCATTATTATGCAAAGGATATTTTCAACTTGGACCAATAATCCTCGATACTTTTGTCGTTGTCGGAAAAGGAATCTTCTAGTAACGAGGTGAAAGAATCGCTCGCCATTTCGCAACGTTCGTGATATTAATCCTCGATATCTGTAAAAGACTATGTTTATAATACGTAAAGTCATTGTAATGTTAATATATATAATATATAATTTGTTTGCTAATAATAAAAGGTAGTGATCGTTGGGATCTTCGTACCCTAACTACCCCTTTCATGCTACATACATAATTATTGTCGCGCTAAAACAAGTGACTGTATCCTTTCTAGTTTCTGCGAATTTCCGTGGGTATAAATCACGTTTCAAACGTACTAGAAAATAGTTGGCGAAATAATTTATAATTCCGTTTCTCGTGTCGCGGGCAAATCAAGCGTCCATCAATCGCGATGAGACGGCTTGATCGTGAAACGAGGCCTCGAAAATTTCTTGGCAAGCCTCGCAAGTCGAACTTTCCAGTCCTGATAGAGCACGATAGACAGTCGTTCCTTCGGAAACAGGAACAGGGATGGCCAAACTCGAACCGTGAAATTATAAAAGTCAAATTTTTACCACCGTGAATGAAAACGTATAAATATTTCGCTACAAAACGCTTCTAATACATTATGCTATTTAATATCGTTCTCGGTTCATATTTTACTTACGTATAGATGATTTATTTATAACATTTTCACGATTTAGAGGGTAATTAAGCAACGTAACTAAATAAAGTTACATTTATTCGTGTAAACAAATAAGAATCTGAAATAGAAATAAAAAAATAAGAAAATGGATTCCCATCATTGATGAACAAAGCTTTGTGTTTCTGTAGAAACTGTATGTCACAATTTCAGAAAGTCCTCATTTAATCGTTAATTGGGTTAAAAAATATATAATTTACATGTTTCCAAGAAGAAAAATCATCGATGTACCGAACTTTAACGCTAGATCTATCAAAATGGTCAAAATGTCTCGTTTCAGGTATTTTATTCCTATTGTTCCTAATAACATACAACTATCTTTGACAAACTTAAAAAGAAGTTTTATTCGATTAAAAATATGTAATTATAATTATATATAATCATTTGTCTTCATGGCACTACTACAGTTATTATCATTTATTTATAAAGCATTTAATTATCCATTATAGGTCGATGATTAAACGGCGAATGTCTAGAAAGTGAAAATATGTGACATGCGGCGTTTCTATCCATCGGTATTGCCCATCCCTGAGGCCGAAGCACGTCGAAGTCGCTGATAAGAGGTGCAATTACAGCGGCAAGCGCTAATGGGCGAGTTCTCTTAATTTTCGGGAATTCAGCGTGGCCGAGTTCCGGGCTGAAAGTTTCTCGTTTAAATCCTCGCAGCGTTGAAGAGTGACTTTCGCGGACGAAGGGGCGGGCAAGAAAGAGACGAACGAGATGGAACGAATTCGAATGATCGCCGATGCCATGGTAACACCGGACAACAAGCTGTCAGATGATAGGTAAAGTTTTGATCAATAATACTGGGTGACTGCCGGCTGAATTCGAGTTTGCCTCTCGTATGACACGTTCCCGCGAAATTGAGCCTTTCAGTCCAACTCGAACACGCTCGCAACACCTTCGATGAACAATATCGAGCCAGAAGCTCTCCGGTGCCAGAAATTACGAACGGAAGACACGTGACGGAATTCGATGACTACGAGAATACGAAGATGCAAATTTATAGTTTCGTGAATGAACGATTGATTTTTTACATGGGAAATCGGGACACGTTTTGACTACACAGTAAGAAATTTTCGAAAGAAGAACTCTGAGTTCTAACGCTAAAACTACCGACCTGTATTATGTACCTAAATATAGTGTACATAATTGACGCTAATTAAAGCGGTACAGGGAAAATAAAGAAGCACATGTAATTACTATTCTGTTTGAATGAAAATCAATAGTAACTTTGTCAAAAGCGGCTGGTAAAATAAAAACTTTGGTAGTTCCAGTGTTAGTTGATTATTTTTAAGAAAAATTGTTGTAACTTAATTATAATGAATCTAATCTATACTTGAAGTGTAACAAGTCAGGAAATATTAATAAAAATATGTACATATATTCTCCTTCGAATACAATAATAATTTACATTATCGTTTGTACACATTGGGTCATAAATGAATAAAGTAAATATGGATTAGCAGAGTAATGTAACGTAACTTTAAGCCGTTTAATTTTATTTTATTTTCCATATAGCACGCGCAATAAAGATCCTTATCGATCGATGAACACCATCCATTAAGTAACCGAGTCCAAACATAACTCATGCTCTTTTAATCACATTAACGCGCTTAAAATGAAAAAATTGTAGAAAATCTCTGTAAAATAAAACGTAAGAAATACGCGAAAATGTAGAGCAGAAAACAAAACACCCACTGCAACCCTCAGGGTGTCTCACGTCTCGTGTTACACCACTGATCGTGAATCAGAGGGCAATGCATGTCGAGTTAGCGTACGTGAGTGAGTTCGACTACCCTAGCATTGCTCTGACGGTGTGCTGTGATCAGAATAACGGTGTGTTAGTGTCGGGCGTCGTTCGAATTAAAGGGAGCAATACATCGTTCAACCACCCCTTCGCTGGGAAGAGGGTGGAAACGACAACGTGTTAGTGGCTCCGGTGGTGCACACGGGCACCGATTGCTAGTGGTGGGTAGGTAACACGAAGGTAAATCGGTGAAATGGCAGTGGTGGTGAACGATCGTGTCAGAGGGCAATGGATGAAGTTAGTCAGTCGGCGTTTGCTCGCGCCGCCACCACGATGGAAATTCATCCATCGTGCTTACGTTTCGATCCTTCGTATAAATCGTGAACGCGTCGAGTGAGTACCGATTTGCTAACACCATTGAAAATTATTGGAAACTGTCGACCTTATTTTCTCTTCTCTCTGTTCCTTTTTCATCTATCTGAGACACAGTAGAAAGATAGAATGTAGCCTCGGTGGTGATCACCAGCACCGGAATGTCAGGGTTCGAGAAACCGATCAGACCGATCAGACAATTATCCTTGCAACCAACTGCACCACATCGTCAACAAATTAGACGACAGAGATCCGCGGAGGATGATAAATCGTTGCAGATCTGCGCGAGTCCCTTCGCACGTGGCAAGCGTGGAACGAGCGGTAAACCTAGCTCCGAGAGACCTAAGGTACCGTCTGAACAATGTTTTACTTAACGTTTATCTTTGAATGAAACATTGTCATTTTCTTAAACACTCGTCCGATTCTGTGACGGTGATCGATGGTGAATTTCAGGTTCGCGTTGCTTGGAAAGAAAACCGTCCAAGGAATGAGGAAGAGCTTGGACAAGTTGAAGTGGTGGCTCGTCAAATTCGTGGACGATCCAGATCGAGCACTGGTAGATCTAGGGGTTTCGTCGGAATGGATAAACCTACGATTCTTTACTCTAGGTTAGAACTGGCAGAGAGGCTGAGACTTGCTTGGAAACATCGCGAGAAGAATAAAGCTAATATCAATATCTTCCTGGCTCGTGAAACTTTAGACGAGAGATGCGAGTCTCAAACATCGACTAATACTACGATCACTGCACCATCGTCTCCTGTACGAAAGAAAGATGAAAGTGAGACCGAAGTTCCTCTGGTTAACAGTTGTAAAATAACGCAAGATGAGGGAAAGGAGAAAGAAATAGCGGAAGTTATCACTAAAAAATCGGTGGAACCTTTACCACGAAACAATGATACGGCTGTTCTGAGGAAAAATAACGACAAGTTAGCACTTGACTTTCTTCATCCTTCTACCAAGATGAAACAAACTCTAACGTTGGAAGAAAATAAGGTTTCTGCTGATACGAAGAACAAGGAACGAGAGAAGATTGAAGCAAGGAAGGAGCAACCGAACGAGGTATAATTGGTTATTACTTAGTTATTAGTTATTATTAGTTATTACTCATTTTTTATAAATAATTATTAAACACTTTCTTCTTATTTAAGCAAATATCGAAGTGTTCGAGCATCGACGAGTATTCTTCTAGTACAAAGAAGAAATCCTCGATAGGCACCGATTGTACCAATTATCGCGTTATGTCTACCACGTTCCCATCGATTAAAATCGAAAATTCGACCGTGGGAGTTACAAAAGCGACGAAGGAGGATTTTTCATCGGCTAAGGAGAAGCGTGCAAATTTTCATAGTGGTACCAACCGAGCCTTCCTCGACCCAAATAGATCGCCAACAGAGTTCAGATGGAATTTAGTGTCGGACAAAAATGCACCTCAAAAACTGTCGACTGATAATCGTGTCACGATTATAGATAAGAATTCTTTAAATCGAACGATCACGGAGACCAAAGAGAACATCAGCAATGAGAAAAACGTGTATGGAGAAAATGTCCCTGAATTTCAATATAACTCAACAAACGAGAAAATCGTAGTGCACAAAATTGCCACAGATGGTAAATTAGCGTCTGTAATTGATAAAAACGCGAAAAATAAAACGGTGATCGAAAAGGGAGATGCTCTATCAGATAACAAAACGTTAACTCAAAAGACAACCGAGGCTAATCAATCTAATTCGACAATTAAAAGAATTATAGCTACGAGTACGATTGTCGAGAACAAAGATAATTCTACGATCGATAAAACTGGATCGTCACAAAACTCATTGGAAGCAAGATCTAGCTCGGTGAACGAAAGAAATTCAACACTGAAGAAGACAGAAAATCAGAAAATCGATCAAAGATCGAGAAGGACCAGTTCTGCGCCACCACAACGACGTTTGGAATCATCTTCGGCTAATAATCGCGTTCATGTTAACATCGTGCTCGATTCCTCGGGGAAAAATAGGACTCAAGAGAAGCAAAATATGGATTATAAAAGTAACGCGATAGAGAAAGGGGATACGGCTGTGACTAAGGTATAACATTTTTGTTTTCTCTTTTTTAATTAACATTATATCGATTATATCGAATTTATCTGATATGGCGAAATATTTTTCAAGATATATCGATACTGTTGCAATAAATGTCTTTGGAAAAATAGCGAAATATTTTATCTTTATCGCAAACAAGCTTTTATATAAAATTTTTACAATATTCCTCCTACTCTGTAATTACTATCCAAGATATTTGTTCGATGCTTTACTCGATGGAAGAAGTATAATGATGTTTAATTCGATGTTTAATTGATATTAAACGTAATTAGATATCAACGAATCGATCGGTGAGATCGGCACCATTAAAGAGACGCTCAAAGAGTGCCAAAAGACGTTTTTGGGGCGGTGGTAGCTGCAAAAACGACGAGGACGGGAAATCACGAAACAAATCGGGTGGCCGTGCAAGGAACTCGATCGATGCCAGAACGATCGACATCGTTACAATGGTATCTCTTGTCAGCTCTGCGGACAGCGACAGCGATACCGAGAGTTCTCTTAGGGATGATAAGTTAATCAACGAGTTACGCAGCAAGCTACCGACCACGTCGATCATAAAAACATCGATTAATTCAGCTTTGAGTAGCGCGAGGAAGCCTATCAAGACAGGTACATCGTAAAATCTTGATGCTTTTTAGTTCTAGAAAGAATAGAATTTGCTAGAAATCAATTAACAATTCGAGGTCATTTCTCTTGGCATAAATGATTTCATGGATGATTTTACTTCCTAAATTCAAAGTTTGTTTTTTTTTTTATAGCTACTTTACTGTAGAACAGCTATTCTACAGCTCACGTTCTCTAATTTTCAAAAATAAAATATCATATTTGAGTATATCAATATATATGCATGACACTTAACTCCTTGCACCGTAATGACGAGTTTAACTCAATCTGGGTTTTTCATGCCTAAAATGGCACAGAGATGAGTTACGCTTTTCGTACTAATAACAAAATTATACTTAACACGTTTTAGTAGAAATAAAATTCATATAAATTCTAAAAATTTCTATAATTGAAAAAAATTGAAATTACTGTACCGATTAGGCAAAATTAGATACTTTTTCAATGCGTTAAAAATAAAAAGTTTTTATGTGCCCAAGGTAAAGTTTTCATCTGGTGATTTATGTTCTCCCAAAGGTGATTAGATTATTAAGGTACGTTGCGAATGACAATATTTCCTACACTTGCGATGGAATATCGTGCAAGAATTTAATAACACACGTGCGCGTGTAAAGACGGCCGTGGAATGATAATTGAACGAGTTAATTAGAAGCGACGCAAGACACGCGAGCCGCGGATGCCGCGAATTATTTCGAAATATCCACCATCGTCTTTCGGTACTGTCTTGAAGTACCAGGAAAAGAACACATACCAAACGCGGCGTTAACTTTTTGTTCATTATCCGCACGAATCTTTACGCAAGCTTCGACAAACTTTTAAAGCTTCCTCCACACGGAAGATCTGTACTTTCGTGGATCGCTGAGCAAACACGTCACTTATCGGATCGTTTGAAAGTTATTAGGCGTAGATTTAGAATGACTTTCTCATTTGCACGTAGGGACTAGTCTACCTTAGTTTCCGAAATATTTGCAAAAATTTGTCCACGTTATACAGTAATATTGTTATCTACACGTGCATACTCGTGACAATGCGTGATAACCATAGACTCGCCAGGAATATTTCAAAAGTTAAAACAACTTAACATTCGTGTGCAAAGAAAAAAGTTATTCCAAATCTTCACTTCTATTAAAAAATCGTCAAAATTGGAGAATGAGGGATTCATCGATAAGTTCGCCAGTTATTATAATCAAATTTGGTTTCTCCATATAACTTTACTAAACCATCATATATCACTTATTATCACATATATGTAAGTATATACATAACGTTGGTCATTAGATTACTAGTTATTATGGAACAGAGTGTTCATTCAAAGGTAAAAGGTTAACGGTAAGCAGTCCGAATTTTATTATTAGTTCTCTTATGGTCTTCCACTGAAACATACCGATAATAATACACTATGGTAGATCTATGCTTACGCCAATGCTTTGAGATTCCTCACGTCGCGTGTCGTGTTTGGTTGGATTTTCTCACCATCTCTTTTTGATCTCATTATTCACCTTGTCACTTAATCTAAATTGTATGTATCATAGCCATGACGAATAATATGCTAGAATTCAAAATATACGTGAGATTAGGCGTGTTACTTCCAAATTGACCAATTTTACGCAACTCCTAGCAAGAGCTTCAAATTAATCACTCTGATTTCCTTGTAATGGGTCCTTCTGAAATTTACATTTTCGCCTAAGCTCCATCTAACAGATCTCCATTTACAATTTCATCCGATTTCTGTTCGCGTATCAATTTCCCTCGATTCCTTTTCTTCCACTGAATTGTATGAGTGGTACGTGAAAATTCCTGACGGTACCTTTCACACTCGAATCATCCATAAAATCGTTTCAACAACGACTTCGTTCTTTTAATACGTATACCGTCGCTAATTAAAGGGAACCTCTATCGTAGAACGACATGAAACCCGTGAAGACAATAAGAGGATCGAACACGTTAAATCGACCAAACTTCTTCTCTATTACGCCACTGACCCTGAAGCAAAATATTCCATTGAAACTCGCCACGTAATCGGGTTTTAATAATTGCACTTCTATTGATGGCTGTTCGGTCAGGGTAAACGCCGATACGATTTAACGATGAAACTTCTAAGAACAAATGTTCGTAAAGTGTAAGCTCTTAGGGATCACGGTACGGCGTTCTTCGCGGTTTCAGCATAATCGACGTTAGATTACAACGAAAAGGAAGGAAAAACATTGAAAGATCTGTAATTGCGAGAAGAAATATAAAATAAAGTAACGACTCGATAGATGAATTTCCAATTTTTTTCTTCTTTAATTTTTTAGCTCGTTATTTTATCGAGGACAACATTTTCTCTTGCCACTATAGTAATCTTTCTTCATGGACTTTAACTTGAGGACTATCATAAGCGTCGAAGTAACTCGTTTCAGATCTTTTACTTTAGCAGTTGCTGAAAGTATGCACACAATTTTTGACAGAATTAACATTGATTTTCATTCAAATAAGATTATCAGATATAAACTGTATGACCTATATTTAGATACAGATCGACGATCTAGTTTACGTTACAGATCGATAGATCTAGTGTAAATATCGGTATTCGTTTTCATAAGTTCGCATTTGTGAACAGAGTTTATGAGTAGCGAATAGGGTAAGAAGGGAAAAGGGTAGAGATGGAATACGGTTCGTGGAAAAATATTGGGTAGTTCATTTAGTCGTGTAAAACCGAATCGATGACACGAGATATCGTTTGGCCCAGTTTTCGGTAAACGGCCAAGTGTTACGAATACCGGCCCATTAAATCAGGTTACTCGGTAAACATACTTATCGTGACTATAAACTTCACCGACTCGATATTACCTTGATACAATTGAATTGACTATAAAAATCTCAGCCAATGCCACATAAAAACGCGATCGAACAATGTTATTCAAATGGAAGCGATTAAATAGCTGCACCGTTTCGAACCTACCGTGACTATCGTCGTTCATGAACGTTTCAACTTTAATTCCAATATTTATTGACGCGAAATTTCGAAGAAACTTTTAAAACCTAAACGAATAAGATTTCGTCAGTTAGTACGGTTACTTTCGTGCGTCTGTCCAAATTATATATTAATTGCGATTTGGTTCGAACGATCGAACCCTCGAGATCGTTGGATGAAATAAAGTCGTGGCGCAGTTTCCTTTCAGAACGATTCCATCGACGAGGATTCACCGAGGGAGCAACAACCCTCGCCAAAGGAGGAGAAAAAAACGACACAACCGTGGCTGGCGATCGTTAACCAGCGTGGAAACGGTGGTATTTCGTCGAACGATGAAACCGTGTCCTGGAGGACGGACGCTGCTGGTTTAGCCCTGCCTGTTCTAGCATTGATTCACGACGTCGAGGAGCCGCTCGACGTCCCGTTGACTGATCGCGAAAAGAGATGCCTGGCCGTACCTATTGGTGATTTACACGATAAAAAACGGAAGTTACTGAAAACTCGTAGCACGCCATCACGATCGTGAGTATAAAAACGGAAGTAGAATTTCATAGTGCTCTGATGGCACTTCGTAGAGGAATATGATAGAAATTTGTGCCTATTTTGTACTACGTTTCTATACTCCGCTTACTTATATGTATATGTTATTATTTTTTTAAGTATTAAAATTGCGAACAAGTTTCTCATACGAAAATTGTGCCATTCGATGGAGACAATTTCATAAAATATCTAAATTTTTCTTTCATCGTTGTTTATATATACATATATTATTTTTTTTTGTTCTGAATGAAAGTGTTTCCACTATTGCGAATTTCTTACTCGTTTCAAAACGTTCCAATGATATATCTGAAATGTATATACGTTTGATAATAATTTATCAGATATGAGTACTATTACTAAGAAAGTTCAAGTTCAATTAGTATCTGTTGCTGAATGCGTGTTATATATATATATTATAATGATTATATTAATTTGTTAAGTCCTTGAGTACACGGATTCTTTCTATTTATAATTCTATATATTCATATGAGTCATGTTATTGTGTTTTTCGTGAAAGGAATTTAATAATCAAGGTATCACTTACATCGTAATATGAAGCAAGTTAAATTATACAAATAAAACAATGGCTTTTTGTTATAAGAAAAGGTCACGATCGAACGGCCTTAAGAATATTTTGCATACTTCGGCATACTTCAGCATCCTTTACTTATTGTGTATTACATTGACGATGAAAAAAGGAAAAATATATAGTTGCGATGTATTAAATTTATATAATATGAAGATAGTGATACCCGGTTATCTATTCGGAAAACCATCAATCTTTCATCAATCTTCTTTTTATTTAATTTTATTATCCATTCACAGCAGGAATTTCGATTGCTCGGGAATTTATATGATATCGTTGAAAGAAAGAAATGGAACGATAAGAGGTCTACGATAACGGAAATAGAGAAAACGATCGTGAACGAGCTGTATTAATAGCCCGTATAATACGTTTCCTCTTTATTCAAGGGTAATAAAAACGCGAGATCGATAAGAGATTTCTCGATATATTCGCCGAAATATCCAGTGGGATATATTTCTTTGTATAACTTTTATTTTGCTTCGCGTTATTTATAATTTTATAATATTATAATTGAAAAAAATACATCAGAATAAATTGTCTTACAGTGGAATGGAAAAACAGATGATATCTTCAAAAGCAAAGATGACGTCAAGAATGGCCGTGCAGAGAACTGAAATTCCCGCACAACAAACCAAAATGCCCATAAATAATTCTCCAACGAATGTAAGACAAATATTTCGTCTCCGAATATATTCATTTTAATTATCAAGAAATTTATGAAATTTCCAGGTAAAATCTGTATTTGTATCACCTTCAAAGGAAACTCTTCAACAAATGCAATCTACACCCGCGGAACCACAGTTTCATACTAACAAAGAAAAAGAATGTTGGCACCTCTATAAAAAAATGTGTGACAAGGGCGTTTGCGTTTCTTTTGATACGGTTTTAAGGTTTGGACGTAAATACTTCTTAATAATTAGTTGTGCGAATTAATATTAAAAGAATGTTCCTATATCTTCTTAAGATTTTGAACGTATTAAATAGTAATAATTCGATGAAACAAATATGTAATTGAGATAAATGAATTAACTTTATTTAAAAGAATATTACAATTTTTCAGGGGTATGCTCACACCAACGGAATATCGATTAAGGAAAAAAGAAGCCTCACAAAATTTGTAACAAACAGTAAAATCCTTGAAAAACTTTCTTCTATTGTTACTTTTGTAAGAAATCGTAGCTGTCTATTTTAATCTCAAAACATCAATCTAAAAAAAAATAACATTCTAATATCTTAAAACAACAAAGGGGCTCGGCAAATAGCGATTTGAGCTTGTAGCTGATACTGTATTTTTAGAATTAGGTACGAAACAATTAAGATTTGCGAAAAGTCTTTACTTTTTTAGCAAATAAAATATTTGAATTGATTGAGTTGAATTTTTAGATGTACATATATGATAACTGCCTATTTTTTTAGAATGTTTATTAACGTATGTAAATACATGATAATGTTTCAGAAATTATAATAATATGAAAAAATGAGATTCGCGATATAAGGGTGATGAAGACTATGAGTAAAGATTACGAGAAAAAGTTGTACGAACTATAATACATGGAAATTTATAAAGATTTAACTGTTTAAAATATAATTGATTATTAGATTCCTGTATTGAATGTTTTGTACAGTATTTGTAACTCGTTTCTTTATATGATAATGTATAGCTCAATAAAATATTTAAATTGTTGTTAGTCATATTTTTCATTCAGTATTATATCTTTACGAATACATACAAAATAAAAGTTTTAAACATTTAAAAATTAATTTATAATCACAAATTGAATTGTATATCTTCTTTTGCTATTTAATATAACAAATACAAATTAAAATTTAATTATTAATGACTTCGATAAAAAATACTAGTTTCAAAGTAATGTTGAAAATTTCTACAGGGTGTCGAAATATTAAGGTACATCACTGTTTCATACGTTTCGCTAACTAACTGTCAATTTAACAGATATTGGCTAGTGTTTTATCAAGTATGTACATAAAATCACGTGTTGGTGGTTGAAGACAAACTGATGGCAGGATGACCTGCACTATCGATTACAAAGCTCGACTGGAACACAAATTATACTTGGTACGTCTCTTAATGAATGGAGGTTAATCATTCATTTTGCTTATATCATGGGTAACCTTGATTCTTCGGCTTTACACTTCCGATATGTATATATGTAATAATTCACATATAATACTTATATTTTTTATAAACCTATATAATGCCTATATAACCCGTATCACTTTTTTAATAATATACACAAATGGATAAATCATTGCGTATTTAATATTTTGTTTTGTTTATTCAATATTGATCTAATTATTTCATTGATAAAAAAAAGTTTAATTTCTCCTAACAATAAAAATTAAATATTAATGCTAATTACTATGAATATTATTAATATTTAGATATGTAAATGTATATTATGATAGGCCAGAGAAAACCCAGAACCAATATTTGATGTGTCTGAATGTGCTTTAAAACATGTACCTTCCGGTATCTATTCATTATGTAAAGTATTCAGAAAGAAGATGCTATGGATGTATGGTAACAAGTTAACTTCACTTTCGGGTGGAGGTGCCTTAAGCGATTTGTCATTACTTGTTGTATTAGATATTCATGGAAACGAATTTACTAATTTACCATCAGATATAATGTGTCTTGCTTCTCTCAAGGTATGTATTATTTCAGTATTAAATTTATTATTGAAGTAACACAAATTATATGTTATTACTATGTATTTTAGGAACTTTATTTACAAGACAACAATATTCGAAAACTGCCAAATGAAATAGTACATTTAAGTAAATTAAATATTTTAAATGTTGCAAGAAACAACTTGAAACAATTACCAGAGGCAATGGGAAAATTAAAACAACTTGCTGTGTTAGATATTAGTCAAAATAAATCTCTTCATAAGCTTCCTAAGTCTTTGGGTTATGCACAACAATTAGCACAGTTAAATATTGATGGATTAAACCTATTGTATCCACCTCAAGATATTTTAAATGGAGGCACAATAGTCATTATAGCATTTTTGGCAAATGAAAGTGGCATTGAATATTCACCAGAAGAGTCTGTTTTGGAAACAGATTTATCGAGAAATATAAATTTTGAGGATCAGCAAGGAGTATATCAGAATAAAAATAATGATGTACAGGTATCATATGCTACAGGACCATAAATTTTGATGTTGCACTTGCACAGTGTGTCTTAAATGTTTTCATTTTTAATTTTAGGCAGCATTACAGAAGCTAGAAAAAATGAAGGCATGTGGATGCTTCTTTTATTTTAGTATGCTTTCAGATATATCTCGCTGCACAGTTACTATTGTTTATTGTAATTTATAAAATACTTACTATATGTTTAAAAGTAAAAATTAATTTATGTATTTATATTATATGTTTAAACAATGTTCAATTTTGCTTGTATTGCATTTGTGTAATATCTTAGTAAATGGAGAAAATAGTTGTCAATTTAAAAATTGATTTTATTTCATAGGAGCATCGTCAAACTGCATTATTGGAAGTTGAGAAAAACATCAAACAGCAACAAGAATACGAAATTGGAATTCAATCAATGTTAAAAGAACATAAAAAGAAGGTATTGAATTTAAAATTATCTATTTACTTCTCATTTTCATTTAAGATCAAATTTATATAATACCTTATGATAAAATACTTCTATTTTTAGCTATTAGAAGATCTTGTTTTACAACAAGCACAATTACGACATGAATTAGAAAAAGTACAACAAGAAAGAGATTCTAATAGAGCACGTCTACTTTGCTATATTTACAATGGTATAATCAAAATATTTTTCAGTCATATTTATCTTATTTAAAATCAAAATAAGAATATTTATAAAACTAAAAAATATTTTCCCAGAATATTGAAACTATTAATATATTAATACTTCTCCTTCAGCTGAGAAAGAAGCAGATAATGTTATCAAAGAATTTTTAAGAAATAGCGAAGAAGAAAGACAAACTCAAGCTGAATTATTAGAACGGGAAAAACAAGAAGAAATGCAACTATTATCTTCATGTCACAAAGAACAATTTTTGTTTCGTACAAAGGATACTCTTCGTTAGTATTAAATATTTAAAAAAATGTATATAATTTATATAACTGTAATTTTATATTTATATATATATTTTTTATAGTTTCAATGGAAAAACTACTTGAAGAAGAACTCCACAAAACTAGAAAATTGGAAGAATATAGTAAATATAGAGATTATGCAGCACAATCTTTGCTCACATTGTTAGTAATATACTAATATGTCATATAAAAATATAAATATACTTAATATTTAACAAATATTTCAGAGAAGTAAGAAATAATGATCATTTAGCACAAATAGTGCAAGATCAAGAAAAGAATAGGCAAAATTTAATTGATACATTAAGACAAGATGAAGTTTTACAGAAGGCTGCTGTTGCAGCACTGTTAGAACGTAGTGATGCACGTTGTTGGAGTATTGTACAACAAGTCAATTTAGTACAGTTACAATTAGCTACACTTACAAACATTGAATTGGAAAGAAGAAAACTAGAAATTAATCAACAACTTGTATGTAATATCTATAATTATTAAAGTCTTTTATATATACTGAATTTTCCATATTATAAAAATATTTATTATTTTACCAAATAGAATGAGATAGCTGAAAAAAGAGTAGCTTTAAGTGCTATTCTAATGAATTTATTAGAACAACAGAAAAACAGAAGAGATCAACTTTTAGAAACAATTAATAATATAGAAGAGCAACGTTGTATTGCTGTAAGCATAAATTTAGATTTGTGCTATCTCTCTATATATAATATGTATATACAATATATGTATAATTATTTTATTTTTGAAGAATTCTAGAAGAAAAAGTCAATTTTGGTTAATGCAATACCAATCTTTAATGGAAACACGTCCTCAGGGCTTATTAGAAATGTTAGAGCCCATGTTAGTGCGACATGTTGCAATAGCGGGTGCATTACATTGTTTGCCATTTTTAGCTTCTTTACCATCTTTACTTCCAGATCTTAGTGATGAACAATTAAAAACTGTATGTTAAATATCAGTTTTTCTTAATCTATACATAATCAATATTTGTTATATTAAAATAGATTATATACTTTTAATACTATAGATTGGCATACATTGTGAAAGTGATCGTACTGCTATAAGACTTGCAGTTGAAAATTACTTAGCAGAAATAAAACTTAATGAATCTAGAATACCTATGACACCCTCTGCACCACCAGAAGAAGCGTGTACAAGTTCTAATGATCAAGAATATAATACTACTCAGAGTATCAATACTGCCGAATGTGTAATTTGCCTTGATTTACAAGTAAGCAAAATTTTTTTAAACTTTATTTAAAAAATTTTGTTAACAAACCTACAATGTTTATGATCGTATCTTTCTTATAGTGTGAAGTAATTTTTCTACCATGTGGGCACCTTTGTTGCTGTTCAGGTTGTGCAAACATGGTTTCTTCAGGTTGTCCAATGTGTAGAAGTGTGATAGATCATAAAATTCACATTGTAAAGCCTTAAAACATGAATGATGTTTTTTTGTAAATAATTCCATTTAGATTACATATCTTCCAAGTTCTATTGCTTTAACGATATATTAATAATTTATTATTTATAAATTTATATGAAAGAATTACTACATATATCCATATACTTTAGACAGTTTCATCTACTATTGTGAAAAACTTATAAAATTTATCCAATGAAATTTGTTTAATTATATCTTTTCCATTTAACAATTTAATTTGATAATATATCTTTGATTTTTTGTAAAACTATGGTTACTATTGAAAGGAAATGTTGGTCAGACATATAAATTTTTTAATCTTGGTATTACTTTTCAATACCAATGATGAAACTTTATAGAAATGAAATAATATAATAACCATATTTAAAATAGATTAAAATTATGTAACTTTTTTATTATTATCTACAATATAAATAAGAAGAAACTACATCTTTGAAAATAAAAAAAATAGAATGAATTGCATTTATTAACACTTGACTACAAATATTAATTTTTATATAAAATGGTCACTGACATATCTGTAAATATAATAGCCTTATAAATACTGTGAAAATTACAATTTTAATCTATTATGGTGGTTAAGAGTTAATAATGCAAAAAAGCCAAAAATAGCGAACAAGCTTTTGTAAATGATAGTTTATATAAGAAAGTTTTTTTATAAAAATTCATTCCCAAGTGCAGTATCTTAAAAATATTCATTAATAAAATATTGATATTTTACCAATGTATATATACTCTTTAAACAAACATTGTTAAAATAAAAAAATTGCAAAATAAAAAATTTTAAAGAAAAATCAATTTGTTTGAAAAAGTAACACAATTTATTAAAGGAGACTTGAATTATTTAAAATATTTTAACTTTTTATACTAATATATTTTACTTCTCATTTTGTAATAATAAATAGAATGTGACAAACATATTAGATTTATACAATAATTGTGTAAAATGTATACTTTTTACATGACATAATATGTTTGCATAATACACGTCAAAAAACCATAACTTCTCTTGTTCCATCTTCCTCCTCTATTATATCATCTTCATCCTTCTTCTGTTGTTTTTTTTTTAGATGTTGCATCTTTTTTTTCTTTTTGAGCTTTACGGAAATTTTCTAAAGATTCCTGCAAGGGATCTACGAACTGGTTAAATTCTATATCATTAATTGCCTGAATAACATCCTGACCACTTATTGTTTTACGATTTCCTTTTTTAGCAATTATATTTGCAGATGATGTTAAATATAATATAAAAATAGAAGATGCTTTTGCTACTGCAGTTCTAGCATCTTTAGCAATTGTAACTCCTTCTGGTAATGCCTCTTTTATAATTCTTGTTACAACTGCATTTGGTAAATTAAGATCTTCAAGCCTTTCAGCCATTTGACGTTTTTATCTATTTATTCTATAAAAATATAATATTGCGAATCGTATAACGTTATAAAAAATGAAAACCTAAACTGTTTGTTATAAATTATACTAAATTATGAAGATATTCTAAGGTTATGACGCAGTATGTAAGAAAAATAATAAACGCAGTAGAAAAAAGAACCACATATTAAATTACCTCGTTTTAAAAATGTTGTCACTTTTGAATCGTTAATTAATTAACTTAAACTAAAATTATACTGAAGTAAAAGATAATAAGTCTTGTTACAATTTCTTCTTATTTCCCGTCAATGTGGTCAATTGTAGATATGTGTAAAATAAATTGAAACTAATACAAATATATAACAACATAAAATTAACAATGAAGTGTCATAGGCATATGAAATCTATATCAACATCTATACTATTACATTTGAACGAATAATATCAAGAATTATACTTTTATTTTTATATACCGTAAATCAAGATTTCAAGTGACCTAACACGAATATGAGACTAAAATCGTTTACTCACAGCACCACCTACTAAAGAATTGAAGACACAATTTCAAACGATATAAAAGCGCTTATAGTAACCTATTACGCTTTTCTTAAACTATATACATATGGATATTATTAATTAAATAATAAAATGTTATAAATAGCTATTTAAATAATTACTTTAATATTATATATTTAATATATTTTTCCATTTTTAAGTAATATAATAAAATAACAAGAAAAAAAATTTTATCTTTATTATATTATTCTACTTGTTTTTATACATTATATTTTATATCTTTTATTGAAATGTTTTTATTACAAAAAAAAGATCATTAAAATATAACAATAATGTGTATTGCTTTCTAAATACAAAATCAAAGTAATTAAAAATCTTCATAAACAAATGTTTCAAATAATAGCAATTCCCACTATAATATTATCGATATGAGTCGTCGTACCGATAAAGTTGAAACTGATACAAAAATGGTTAGATTCCCAGAGCCCTCTATTTCACACACAATGTAATTAAGTGACATATACTGATAAACTAGTCTAACAATATTTAGTTCACACAGAACGAAATCTGTCGTCTGCACAGTAGTTTGATAAGAATCATTGAATAAAGAAAACTAATTCTGAAATTGACAGCTTTTGCAATCATTAAGTCGAGGGGCAATTAAAGCAAAGCACCATTCGGAGAAAAATGTCAAAAATCGAAGAAGGAAATGTTCACATACGACAAGCTGAGAAAAGGTATTGTTAGTGAAAAATGATAAATTGTGAAGCATTGTCAACAATTGATCTGACTTTCGTCAATTTTTTATATAAATTCAATAACACGTATTCTTTTATGACATAAAAATAATTTCGATTTTATTGATCCATCTACTCAAATAAAGAAATTCTATGTTATAGCTTAAAAAGATCAGTGTTAAAATGGAGACCTGATTTCGAAGTTGCAGCCGACGAGTACACGAGTGCAGGTAAAATATATATAAATAATTAACATCATAATATCAAATAATTAATCTAATGTTTTTTTTATTATTTATTTTAGCAACTTGCTTTAGAATAGCAAAGTCTTATCAACAGTGTAAAGATTGCTTAATGAAAGCTGCTAACTGTTATAAAGAAAATAGATCGTATCCTTTAAAATAAGAAATTCATATATAATGCTAAGTTCTTAGTTTTTTTTATAAATTTTAAAAATATATCTATTCTTTAACATTAATTATATGAAAGATGGTTTCATGCTGCAAAGTAAGTTATTTATATCTTTAGTGATGTTATACTTTATATAAAGTATTACTATTTATTACAATATATACAATTGTAGGAGCATTGAACAGGTTATCTTAATTTGCAAAGAGATGGGAAATCTTACAGAAGTACCAAAATTAGCACATAGTGCTTCCTCTTTGTATCAAATGCATGGCTCACCTGAATCAGGTGCAACTGTGCTTGATAAAGCTGGCAAAATGATAGAAGCTACTCAACCACAAGATGCATTAGAACTTTTTAAACGTGCTGCTAACATTGTTATGGTCAGATATAATTTTGTTTGTATAATTAATAATAATATATTTGACAATTATATAGTATGTATTTTTAATAAAGGGTGAAGATAGTCCAAGTCAGGGAGCAGAATATATGAGTAAAGTAGCAAGATTATTAGTAAAATTACAAATGTATGATGAAGCAGCAGATGCAATTCGAAGAGAAATTGGAATGCATCTACAGACAGAACATATATCTTCTGTTGGTAGATTAACAGTAGCATTAGTACTGGTACAGTTAGCTCGAGGTGACCAGGTAGCAGCTGAGAAAGCTTTTAAGGAATGGGGAAATTGCTGTGATGCTCCCGAGGTCAGAACTATATCTCTGAGAAAGATGAATAGATAATGTACCTTCCTAATTAGTTAAAACCATTATATTTATTCCTAATTACTTTTAGGTTAATACATTAGAAATATTATTACAAGCATATGATAATGAAGATGCAGATGCTGCAAGAGCAGCATTAAATAACCCCTTTATTAAACATATGGATGTGGAATATGCTAAACTTGCTAGAGGATTACGTCTGCCACAGCAAGAATATGCATTACCTCCTTCAGGAGTAAGAGCAAATGCAGCAGAATCATATGTATCTCCTAATGCCTTAAAATTATTAGAAGAAACTAGAGATGAAGTTGAAGTAAGCAATAAATTTATTAATTTACTTTAATTTTTATGTGTTTTATAATAAAGTTATCTTAACAAAGAAATTTATTAAAATATATTTTAATCCATATAATTTTTTAGAATATGGGTATTCAAGAATCTGAAGATGCTGCCAAAACATCATCTAAAGATGTTGTTGAGAAAGAACAAGCCCAAGCAGCACCTTCAAAAAATGTAGAAAAAGAGGAAGAAGATGAATATGAAGGCGGACTGTGTTGATTGCATATTCTTATTGGGATTGACATAAATTTATATCTTGAAGTATAAACAAATTTTATTTTTCAAAAGATACTATATTGTGTCAATCCAGACGTATATTTAAAGCCTAAAATATTCTTTGCAATTTCATATATGTATATGTATATATATTAGAGCATAAAAAATATAAAATATATAAATATATATACATATATACACACATATAATTATAAATCTTTAACCTTGTTAAATTATTTAATGCACACCTATTGGCTTAGTGAAACCAATATCTCTATGATGCTTGTAAGAAAATTTTACTTGTTTAAAAGAATAGCTATATAAATAGCTATATATTTCTTTGTATATATTGCAAAGAACTATATAATATAAAATAAATATGTAATATATATGCATTTATGTTTAATAGAATGATGTTTCAGAATATAACCTTTAAAAATACAGTTTGCATATTCATATCAGCTTTGTAAACATTATATTTTTTAGCACTTATAAAATATATTCCTTGGAAATCTACATATGATTATAAGTTTTATGTCAATAAACATGTACAAAATACAAATACATTTTAATAATCTAATTTTATGTTTAAAAACTGTAAAAATATACATAGAAAATAAATTGTTATTGCAAACAAGTGTATATTTAAGTGTACATTTCCTTATATATACAAATCAAAAGAAAAGAGGTTATGTATGTCAGATGGAAATTTATACAAATGTAACACAAAATTTATTCACTCACGAGTTTTATGTTCCAAAATTGCAGACGCCGTTTTCTTCTATGACATATCCTCAGGAAATAAAAACTTTTAATTTAATACTTTTATCTACATCAAAATTTTAAATACATCCCTTCACTTGACGGTTTTGAAAGATTGCCGGGAAATGATATTAACATCGTAATCAATGATCGAAATATACAAATCACATGCAATAATTGAATTAAAATAATATATGTCTATATAATTTTGTTTAAAAATATTTTGTAGAGTAATAAGGTATTTATGATGTTGTTTAGTCATATTATAATTATCTAATTAAAAGTTTTTACGTCTTTTGCATTTGTTTGTTCTAACTTTATTACTATTTACATATAATTAAAAATTGGTCTTGTATAATTCACTATTTAATTGTAAATACTAAATTATAGTAACTATCATATTATGTTAAAATGAAAACTAAATTGAAATATAATAGCAAGCTTAAAATTTGTTCTGCAGTTCATTATCTTGTTTTCAAAAAATTAGCGCGAAATAATTCTTTCGATACGCAAGTTTCAATCTATGGATGTAGACGAGCAAGTATTATCGTACAATGAAATATTATTAAGCAAACAACAAGAAATATAAAAATCTTCTATATTGTTATAAAACTTAATACGTAATGTGATAAAATATCAAATTGTAATATTCATCATCTATGTTTTATTGTAATTTGAATTATTAATTATTGTGTCTTCAATTGACTGTGAACTACACTTTAAGTATTTCAACACGAAATCAATATTACAGTGGCTTTTAGACAGGCGTGTTTGCGCACGAACGTTAAAATCGAATAAATAGTCGTCTGCAAGAAGACTCAAAGCAGACGTCACAATACACCACGACGTTGTGGTATCATAATAGTGGAGCGCGAGTAAGTGTCAATTTGATTATTGTCATCATTTCTGTAAGTATCGGTAGTTCTGTCAAGATCATTTGGAATTTCTACCGATGATCGACAAATCGCGCATACGTATTTCTGTGGGTGCCGTGAGGCGGCGAGAAAGGCCACCTCTTTAAATTAAAAGAAGGAATGACGCTAGAAAATCCGTTCTTTGTCGTCAAGGAGTAAGTAAAAGTTATATATTGTTGTCAATTTTTATTCAGTATTTTTTATCTTCCAAGATTATCATTGATAAATCGATATTAATTTCGTGAAATTTATTCAGTTGTCATTTGAATTTTTGTTATTCCTTTTACAACATTGATAATGTATACATGCATCAGCCCTTTAAGAATAGTCATAAGCTAAATTACAAAGAAATCTTACTTTTGTCCTAAAGTAATTTCTAGTTATTTCAATTCTCGCAGGGAATGTTTTACCATAATCCATTTATTCTGAATCTTATCTTAATACACATACATTATAAACACCTAATCTTAACTTTTTACATATTATTTTGTTCATTAAAATTTTCTCGCTATATTTATCGGAAGTAACATTGAACTTTTTTCGCAATATGTAAGATTAGATTTATTACCATTTCATATTTACGTATGATAAAAAAAATTTATAGATTTTGCCAAATTTTATGCAACATATTTATAAAAAAAAATTTAATTATTACCACTTAATGTTTTGATATTTTAATACATACACGAAATAAGTACTGAAAACTTAAAGCGATAATGTATAATTGATCAATATCTTTTTATCAAAAGAGGATAATTCTTTCTTCATATATCATTATTTCATTTCTTGAATGTTGATTTAATGTATTGGAAAAAAGTTAACGTACACTTATGATATATAAACAAACTTTTATAATATTAAAATAGACGAAAAAAGATTTGTTCCGTTTATTCCGTATCGAAAACAAATTTGTTGATATTTAAAGCATCTTTTTAAATATATAACACTTGTCAAATTGTGCTTAAATATAACATATTTTGTAATATAATATTAACTACTAACGATATTACAATTATGAAGTTTATATTTTTATTCTTAAATATTAAATAGTTTTATTAATTTTGTTTCTTATAAACAATAATGGTTTGTGTTGTTTCTTTACAATACATAAATTTATATTCATATATTTTTAACATACAGTATATTTTTATTAGCAAGATAATATCAAATTATTATTAACTAATTTTATAATTTATGATACAAGTAACATCTATTTTTTGTTTTATAGCGAAGTTTGTAAGGCCTTAAATAAAAATCGCGGTTTATACGGGCGCTGGACAGAATTGCAGGATGTTGTTGTCACGAGTCCTACCGTAAGTGGGGGAATCCCAATTTCACGCGACGAGTTAGAGTGGACTACTACTGAATTACGGAAAGCCTTACGTTCGATCGAATGGGATCTTGATGATTTAGAGTACACGATCCATATCCTTTGATACACACACACAAATATATATATATA